TTTTTTTTTTCAACTTTTGAGGTAAAAAGCCCTTTAAAAGGGCTGTGGTGAAATAACATTACATGGAACCTTCAAATTGGTCTTTTTTTATTCAAACATATATATATATATATATATATATAATATAATGAAAATATATTACTAATAAACATTCTTTGTTAATTATTTATTTATATTCATTTTTTTTAAAAATTCACTTCAGATGATCAAGCAAAAAACTAACACGACAGATAAAAAAAAAAATTTCATTGAAAATAAAATAGAAATTAAAAAAAAATAAAGAAAAGAAAAAAAAATTTAACAAGGAACTTTTTTGGTATTTAACAAAACATATAAATTAAAAATTTTTCCCCTAATAGACATATATATATATATATAAATATATATATATATATATATATATTTTTTAAACTACTAATTCGAAAGTTTAACACCATTGATTAAATTTTTAAATTGATTTAAAAAGTAGTTGATTTATTACTTGGAATAAGAGAAAAATTACATGAAACAATGGTTTACAAAAAACCTAAGATTAAGTTTTTTTTCAAAATCTGTCTATATGAATGATTAAATTACATTATTGATATATTTTCAGACTGTAATCCTCAAAGGATAAAAAAATAAAAAAACGTTTGAGCTGTTGTATGTTCATTTTTCTTCTTGATTTTTTTTTAAAACCAAACCCTTTATTTCATATTTTTTTTATTTACTTCCAATTTTCCATGTGCCATGCCACTTCAAAATTTTTCAGTTATTTTTTTCTTTATTAATATCCACTGATTCATTAGATAAAAATGTTGGCTAATTACATTGACTAAACATAAATAAATTTGAGTTCAATACCTGGCTACAGCAGTGGTGAACTAAAACTTGGAGAATTGAGTTAAAAACTTGTATACAAGACATCCAAAAAAAAATGGTTTGAGGAAAATCAAACATTCAACAAATTGGATGATTTTCATTCAAAATACTAATCTGAACCTGAAGAATTGCATTATAACCATACAACAGCCGAAACATTGGGAATATAAATGAAATGAGAATAACAGTCACAAATAATTAAATAATAAGTTTTTTTTATTAGAAATTTTATTATGACAAAAAATAGCAATTTTATGATTAAATTTTTGCTTATGTCAAAATATCTTCAATTTATTTAAATTAGTTAACACAAAAAAATTTTTGGCATTCATTGCAAAAGTTTCTCAAAGTATAAGTTTGATAATTTACTCCATTCTTGTTTCAATGACTATAAGAGCTCTTTTTCATTTTTTTTTTTTCACTTCTCTATATCGAGTTCATCCCATGCTAATTCTGTGGGTAGCTTCAAACTTTTGAACTCTAGTATAAATATGTGAATGCATTTCATGCTATACATATAAACATAGTTAATTTTCAGCTAATTAATGGATTTTGTAAAAATCTTACTTTATTTCTTATCACTCAGTTATGTCATGCGTGATACACACTTAGGCAATCATGTATCTTTCAATACATGACTGACGGGGCAGATTTTTTCCCGCAGGAGGTTGCCATTTCTTTCTGCAGTAGACCAGTTGCCATCCAAGGCTATAGAACCCAGTCTATACTGCTATTTACCCATAGCTCAGGAGAGAAGAAAAGGGTTCCTAACTTTCTCAGGGGTATTAGCACATAAGTGAATGTAATGGATTCAAGTGGAATTTGAACTCAGCTCTCCGATTCCTTAATCTGAGCCACTATCCATTCCTCCACTATGCCTCCTTTTTATCACTATAAACATGATATTTAATGGATACATGTGTCTAAGAAGATATCCCTGATTTTTAACTGTTTTTTAAACATCTCATTAGCTAAGCGGATGGGTTGAGAAGTCTTAATAAAGAAAATGTGCTTCCTAACAGGAAATTTTTTTAATCGATTTTGCCCCAAGTAAAGCTACTGATACAAACAAGGTCTGGAAGAGTTAGAAACAGAAACATTGCTAAGGAATGAGAACAAAAGAAGAGTAATCAAAAGAACAGTTGATAGCAATTGATATTGCATTTATATTTTTGCAGATTACAGTCGGCTGCAAATTATGGAGCTGGAAGTAAGTTCCACAAGCAAGAAGTGCAAGAAAAGAAACTGATAGCATAGAATTTATGGTTACATCTAGCCAACTCAATTGTAAATTGATGAGACCTCCTCGCCAATCTGGTACTGTGCTTAAATTCAAAGAGTCTAGGCACCATAGTAAAGAGCTCATCTGAACAATTACCATGAGAGTATTTATAGAAAAGGTACAGGGAAACAACCTTACCATGGTGGGAAAGAGAATGAAGCTAAGACCCCAGAAAAGAGCTGATAATATTGCTGATTCAACTTTGGATTTTATCAAGGAGCACTAGATAAATAGCAAATGCACCAGATTATATGTGGCAGCAATATTCTAATTGTATCTGTATTCCCTTTTTCAATCAAGGAAACCATATTTAAGCTAAGTGTGCGTTACTATTAGATATCATATGTTTGCTATGATGGCTTCCTGTAGATTAATAATCAGACAGACTTTGCTTAAAAGATTGAAAATGCAAATTCAGGCTCAATTTCTGACAGGAGGCACATTTTTTTTCTAATAAGACTTCTCAATCTCTAAGCTTGTAGATATTTAAATATTAATTTAACTAAAGTAAATTTGTATTTCATTTTAAGCTGAGTATTTGTCAATATACTTTATTTGTAACTGTTGTTTGTCAATATACTTTATTTTGTAACTGTTATTTTGGTTGTTATATTATAGGCACTTAATTTTGGCCAAATACTCTCTGGCCAGGATCAGCTTCATTATTTTCTGATATTGGATATCTGTTCAATCTGTTTATTTTTACCCTTGTGATATTGTTTATTGTTTGTTTTTGCTAATCCTGTGCTTCACTGACCCAGGGATTAAACTCAGAACCATTAGATGTAACACATGTTTAACCAACTCCTATATTCACTATATCACTGTCCAAAAACACGCCATTCGTGTATTTTTTTGGAGCCTTTATATTCAGTGTTAAATGGTTTCAGCATTTGGTCATAATATAGATAATTTCATATTTAACTTGGCCAAAATATTATGTCTATAATAACATCTATGACAACCAAATGATACATAATAGTTTGAAATAATATAACAATATATATTTTTTTAATCACCGAGTCCCAAGGTTGAAAAAAAAATGTCATTCTAGGATGCAGGGGAGTTACACAGAGTGAATGTGAAAGAGAATGAAAGATTGAAAAATAATCATTGAGGGACAAAAAAGGAACAAGATTCAAGAAGACAGAAGATGTTGATTGATGTTGCATTTAAACTTTTTTATCAGGGAAACAAAAAATTGGGAGGGAGTTCCACAGATGGGAAGTGCAAGAAAAAAAACTGTTAAAGTAGAAGCAGGGGATATGTCTCACTGGTTCAACAGTAAAATGGTGAGACCCTAGTTTTAAAAGGTCAAGTAGTATAGGAGAAAGAAAAAAAAAAAAAAAAAGATAAATGATTGATCCAAGTGGGTTCAAAAATTTTTGCAGTGCGTCTAAACCTTTTGTTTTTTTTTTTTCTTCTTCTTCTTCAGTCGCCTCAAGGAAATTAATTGCATGACTCCCTTTCTCAGGTTTTACACTGGGCAGTTGTGAAACAGACACCAACTCAGTTGCGCCTACTTCGACTTCCTCTTTGTTCATCTATCAATCTGTACATCCAACTCTATAACACGCAGTCCGCTGAATAACTCCCTGACGCTTGGTGACACTGGAACCCCGCTTTTTATGCTATTCCAAGACGGCCAAAATTTGCATGTGTGCAAATATTGTTTCGTTTTGGATGAGATAGGCGTGCATAAATTGTGTCTTCAATAGCAGCCATATTTCTTTTTGTCATCACTTTGCAGGCAAGACACGTTCGCGCTTGTTTCAAATTCTGAGATAAGTCATGTCTTTCATCACAAGTAGCACACTTAAATTCATGTGGTTGGGGCACCTTTGCAAGAAGCTCAACAGAGCAGTTACTATAAAAATATTTGTAGAAAAGAGAGGGAAGCCACATCACATCAGTGGAAAAGTGAGGGAAGTCAAGACCATTTATATTACAGATCCTTCTTTGAATTTTGTCAAAAATCATGAAATGTATGGCAGAAGTACCTGACCAGATATAGCAACAATATTCAATGCATCGATGAATGATAGATTTAGAAATGTGAAAGATGGATCCTGATGAGCCAACTTTCCTTGCAGTAGAAATCACAATTGATTCGACATAGGCACTCTACTTCATGCCAGTGGAAAACATGAGGCCAAGAAGTTGTAGAGTTCTTCACCAAGAATTGAACTCACAACCACTAGATGTAATACAAGTTTAACCAACTTCTATATCCACTACACCACTGTCCAAAAGCACACTACTAGTGTATATTGACGCCTTTATATTCAGTGTCAGATGGTTTCAACATTTGGTCATCATGGTGGGTTCATACCACTTTTCATAAGGTAGATAATTTTATATTTCACTTGGCTAAAATATTATGTATATAATAACATCTACATCAGCCACATTTGGTTGTAGGTTTTTTTAAATCAACATATCAATTTCTATAGATTATTTAATGCCAAAATCTAAATGTTTTGTATTTTATTTTATTTTTGAACATAATAATAGTTTAGTGATACAATAGATATTTGGGAGGAAGAAGAGGTGAATTCATACCTTTCCCAAGGGTATTTACATAATAATGATTTATTGGTACAAATAATACTAATTAACCCATAGGTGGGGAGAGAAGAGGTGAATTCATACCTTTCCCAAGGGTATTTACATAATAATGATTTATTGGTACAAATAATACTAATTAACCCATAGGTGGGGAGGGAAGAGGTGGATTCATAACTTTCCCAAGGTTATTTGCACATAAGTGAATATAACAAACCCAAATGAAATTAGAACTCAGCTCTCTGATTAACAATTTTGACCTATTATTCATTACACCACTTGCAAATCCAAGCTTACAGCAACTAGTATTCCCAAGTGGTCACCCATCTAGGTACTGACCAGGTACAATGTTGCTTAACTGCAGTGCTTGTATGGAAACCAGTGTTTAAACATGAGTTTGATATAATATAACACTATTACAAATAATTGTTGTGTTGATAATAACAACCAAGATGATAATTATAGTTTCAAAATAAAGTATTTTAATGTTACTGTTTAAAAAAAAAATATTAAAAAGCAGAGAAATCAACACAAACATATATACAAACTAAATTTAACATTTATAGTAATGAGATTATATATATATATATATATATATATATATATATATGAATGAAAGCATGTCCTGCAATTTTGCTTAAAAATGTGTTTTTCAATCAGTTGACATTTTTGTTTGATTTGAGGAGATACAATGCAGTTGTACAGCATGTATCATCAAGTCGTGTTATATTTCTGATGGATGACAAATTTCCCTCAATAAAAAGCAGATTGTCAAGCAAAATGATCGCTCGGTAAGATTATCCAGACACTCAATGAGTTTATGATTGTTGGTTGATGTTACAAAAAAAAAAAAAAGAAAGGAAAATTCAGGATCCATTAGGATTTTCCCTTAGGTCTACTCAGCCTGGCTGGCTCATTTCAAGGGGAAAACATCCTGAAAAGTGGACTGCCAATGTTATCAACCACAGATGCCCATTGCTTAACTTTTCAGCCTCATGCTTATTGATGATGTATAGAGCTTGGAATAATAAACAGACTTTAATCCAGTGGGGGTTTCAATATAAAGCTTTGGAAAAGACTTTAAGGGTAAAGGTCATTTGTTTGTTTATTTTTTAATATATTATGGCCATTGTAGAGATTTATGTATGGCTCTATTTTGCTATAGTCTAGTGAATCAAATGTGTTTGTGTGTGTGAGGGGAATAGCATCAAGAATTCTGAACAGCTTTAAAGACCTGCATTTCTGTTTTTTGCCCTCATATGATAGCTGGCTTGATTGGATTGATAAGGACCTTGTTCCCAATCTAGTGCTTCAATTAAATTCATAAAGTCTAGTTACCATAGCAAAGAGCATCCTGGGTATGACAATAAACTATGTCCAACAACAAGGCCTCTGATGATATGTTTTTGAAAAAATAATATTGCCAGCTATATGTTTTTGAAAAAATAATGTTACCAGCTGTACGTTTTTGGAAAAATAATATTACCAGTTATACGTTTTTGAGGAAAAAATATTAGAAAGCTATATTTTTTTGAAAAAATATAGCTATATTTTTTTTTTGAAAAAAAATAATATTAAAAGCAGCTATACATTTTTGAGGAAAAAAAAATATTTGTTATAATATTTTTAAAAATATATTACCAGCTATAAATTTTTTGAAAAAAAAAATATTAGCAGCTATACACTTTGAGGAAAAAATATTAACAGAAATAGATTTTTGACAAAACAAAAAAATTTTCAGGAAAAAAAAAAGTTTTCAGCATTAAATGACCCATTGAGGTTGATATGCCGTAAACCAAACCAAACCATGGCAAAGAGTTCATCAGAACTATTACCATATTTTATTTAAAGGGAAAGGCACAGGATTTTAAAAATATTACAAAATTGGAATTTTGAAATGAAACCAACAAGATGCCATTTCAGTACCAATAGTGTTGCTGATTCTTTGAATTTTATCAAGAACTTCTAAATATACAGCAGGAATGGTAGTCTTATAAATATGTAAGATAAATTCTGGAGAGAAAGATTGTCTAGCACCAACCCAGTGAACCGACTTTCTTAGCATCAGACCTAGCAATGTTAAACTGAGAAGGCACTGGAAAAATCTCTCAAGCTGATGGGATCTTTCCATTATATTTCAGGTGATTAACAGAGAGAAGTTTCGTTTTGGAGATGTTAAACTTAACAAGCAGTTCCTTGCTCCAGCTAACAACAAACTGGAGATCATTTTTTAGATCACCTGCCAATTTCAGCATATCAGATTGCTCAATATGGCTGCAACACAAACCATGGAGTGGTACTTTAGGTGTTCAAAAACCACAATTTTACCTGATCTGGCAATTGCAAAAGAAATGAACTTACCACCCTCACAGCTTGGAGAACTCGGAAATCAACAGCCAGCTATTATGTTAAATGTATGTGAGTATACAATCGTTAAAAGTTAAGCAGCATTGAGCAAGGTCAGTACCTAGGTGGGTAACCACTTGGGAATACCAGGTACTGTAAGCTTTGATGTGGTTGGTTGGTTGAACAACATATCAACTCCTTATGGGTCATTAAATGCTGAAATTAAGTTTTCTTGGGAGCTTTGGTCATCTTTTCTTTACTATTAAAATCTATTGCTGGTGTTTTTTTTACTATAAAAATGTGTTTTTATACTTTCATAGTCTTTTGATTCCAGTTTGGGGAAGGGGTAACTATTTACCCATAACTGAGACCCTGACAGGTGCTGCTACCCGGGGTCAGGGTGGATCTGGGAGCAACAGCAATTAAGAACTCAAAACCACCTGATCAGAGGCCTTGTTGCTGGATGTAGTTTATCCTCATCCTGAGAAAAGGGTTTGATGTGCAGGTGGTGCAATGGTTAATGGCTTGGAATTTGAAATCAGAGATCCAGGTTTCAATTCTAGTCAGGTTCATTACATTCACTTATTCAAAAAAATACCCTTGGGAAAGGTATGGATCCACCACTTTCTTCCCCCTAGCTATGGGTTAATTAGTAGGACTTGTATCAGTAAATCATTATTATCTACCAAAGTTTTTTACAATCTAAAAATATTTTCTAGCTTTAAAAGGTTGACAATACAACCTTTTTAAAGCTAGAAAACATTGTCTTATTTTTCTGATTAATCATTCCAAATGAAAATAATTTAAAAGATGAATCAAGCGAATTATTTTATTTCCATTATTACCAATTTCTTTTACATACTCTATCCATTCAGGACGTGGGTGATCATAGCTCCCCACAACTTCCTATACTTTGGAGCTCTAAACAGTGTTTGTTCCTTTACTTATACTTGTCCCTGTTCTGTTATTCACTTACACAAGTAGGTTGATTAATGCGTGTCTCCCTCTTTTGACTTCAGTATGTCCTGTGAGTATCAAATTCCCTAAGCCTTCTTTTCTTACTATGTATCCAAAATGTTTCAAGTGTCTCTTTCTGATTTTAAGTACAAGTATACCTTCTCTGTTGATGGAATTCTCCGCATCTTTCTGTAGAACACCATCTCTGTTGCCTTAAGATTCATTTTCATCTGTAAGGAAATTGTCTAGCACTCATTTCCATATATTTCTGTTCAGTGTCTTGTTGAAAGATGATCTCTCTTCAGTGTCAAAGCTAGTTAGGAATGAATTGATATTTTATTGAATCCATTTTCTGCTCAATTTAAATTTAAATGCCATGTCAATTGTCATGTTCTGTCGTCTTGAATCCTCTGCTTTTTATTATCCTTTCTCCTCAGTAATGTTTTATCGGTTTCCTTCGCTTTGTCTTTCTCTCTTACTCAGTAACCCATTGTATCTTAGTTGTTTTATTGTCTTGTTTGAGTGAAATAAGAAAAAAAGAAAAACCTGGTGAGATTCTTGATACCTGTTACTTCGAGGCAACCTCATAAAATGACACACCTGCACCCTTCCACTGTTGGGATAGAGGTTTTTTTCATCATGCATTGGCTTACAGCCACATCATGTTGAAACACTAGTTCCCATATGATCGGCAAAGTTAAGCAACATCAAGCCTGATCAGTACCTAGATGGGTAATCGCTGGGCATACCAGGTGTTCTAAGTGTGGATATGCAGGTGGTGTAATGGATAATGGCTTGGAATTATTAATGAGAGAATTGAGTCCCAATTTCAGTTGGGTCTGTTATATTCACTTAGACGCAAATACTCTTGAAAAAGGTATAAATCCATTTCTTCTCCACCCCCCCACACCCAAGTTAATTAGTAAGACTTGTATCACTAAATCATTATCTCAAAAAAAAATTCCTACAATCTAAAAATATTTTCTGGCTTGAAATAACCTAGAAAGGGTTGATAAGCCATAAAGAACAAATCAATTATCATGTACTGTCTTCCTTTATTCTACAAATATAACATTGCTAGTTATCTTATAAAAAACTTCAATTCTCCTTTCATTTGACCAAATAACTGTATTACAGTACATATTCAAGTGATCTAAAATCTTTTTAGAGGATACTAAAATCTTTTTATGTTTTCTTTGGCTGTTTCTTTTTTTTTTTTTTTTTCAACCTTTTGACTCAAACAGGACATTGATTGATTGATTCATTTTCTATGGCTTATCAACCTTTTGGCTGAATGGTCAGGTAACATGGACAAAATTTGGTGGAGGAGAAGACAGAAATTTTCTGATATTGTTTTCTTATTTAATTTTTTTCTCTTATTTTATTTTGTTTATTCTGTACTTGATTTTATTTATTTAAGTGTATTCACTTTCAAATAGATAAATGTATATTTTGGCCTGTAGTTTGCTACCTAAAACAGCCTAACCAAAATTTAGATGTATTTGTACACATTTCTCTCCTTATTGCTTGGACATTCTCTTTTTCACAAAAAATAGTTCAAATAATGATAATTTCCAGCTCTATTTTAAATTGATAGAGGATATTTGAACTTATATTAAGTTAAAACTTGATATATATCATACTGTCAGTTCCCTGACTAACTATATTGCAAAAAATACAAGCAATATATTTAAAAAAAAAAAAAAACATTATCAGCAATACATTTGACTCTTAACAAAAATACATATTACAAAGAATATATATTCTATTCATGCAAACCTATCCTAAAAAGCTTGTTGGCATTAAATAACCCACTGAGGTTGATATGCTGTAAAACAAAATAAACCAAACCAAACTTCCTCTACCCTAATACATATATTCGGAGCTAATCCTACCTATCCTTGCTTCTTTTATTTCACCTCAAACAAGGTGGGAATGCCACTAATACTCATGAAAGAGAAGACAGACAATTGAGGAAATGACAAATAAATGGGATTCAAGAAGGCAGAAGATAGCAATTGATGTTACATTTAAATTTTTGAAGATTGTTGTTTTTGGGAAAAATAAACATGAGAATTTGAAAAAGCAAA